GGACACTTTTTCAAGGATGAGGATGTACACATCCTGGACAGGGAGGAACGCTGGTATGAGCGCGGAGTCAATGAGGCCATTTACTTGAAAAGGGAAAGACCATCACTGAATCGAGGAGGGGGCCTAAGGGTACATCTTTCACCATCTTACAATGCTATGATTGCAGCCATTCCCCAACTCTCTGTGAATGGTACTCATCGCAATTCATCAGTGATCTTTGATCAATGAGCCTTGATCAGTGGTGTTGATCAATGCTCAAGAGAATTTGCATATTAATGATCAAGGAACTGACCTCCCAGCCCATTGTTCCTTCAGTGGGCTGGTTTCAGTCATTATGCAAATGTACTGTTTATAAGATTGGGGAAACCTGCAGTTAGCTAAGACTGAAGAAGTCACTTGAATGAGTGACGAAACGTTTCTCCCACTGAAAATGCTACGTCCAGATGAACAGAATCAATCTTTTGGGACTGCACAGAAATGGTTCAGGAATGGTTTGAGGACCACAACAATGAGTCTGAGGTGTTGACTTGGCCTTGAAGTTGCCCATATCTTAAGCAAGCATCTGTGGGATGTGCTAGACAAACAAGTCCGTTCCACGGAGGCCCTACCTCACAGCTTACAGGACTTAAAGGATCTGTTGCTAACATCTTGATGCCAGATAGCACAGCATGCCTTCAAGGGTCTAGTGAAGTCCATGCCTCAGTGAGTCAGGGATGTTTTGGCAGCAAAATTAAGCTAAATTAAATTTTATTCATATCACACTAATTCCCAACTACAGTCACCTCTAGGTTCTTTATGTCATAAGGTAAAGACCCCACAGCAGTACAGAGGGGGACCGACACAATATTAGGCAGGTGGTTGTGATGTTATGCCTGATCAGGGTGTTTACTAAATTTATCACATTTTATTTTTTCCCTATTCTGTCCATCCATGCCTTTTCCTTCAGCTCTCTTTCCTCTTGTACAGACTCTGCTAATGTCCCGGAGGCCGCTGGGAAACTGACAGGGAAGAAAGCATGGGCATGGAAAAATGGAGCTCCTTTGCTAGCACAATACTGCAAGCCATGCACACACACTCACACACACTCACACACAGATTCTTTTTAGATTGCAATACTGCCTTGCAGGCGACGTTACCATGTTGAAAAAGAGGCCCGTTGGTCTGCTTTTTCTGACCTGGATAGTAGAGCAGCACATGGCTGTTCATAGACAGCAGAGTGTTTACACCTCACACAGCTGGTAAACATCTGCAGCTGTTTGGCCCATTAAAAAAAAAAAAAAAATCTTTCTTTTGACAGACTTAATTAAGTCACCAAGAAGTGACTGTTGTTGTGATTTTAACCTCCTAAGACCCGAACTCTTCCACGACACGCATTTTTAATTTCTCTTTGATATTTGGGCTGATTGGGGCCTGATGAATGTAAAAACAAAGAATTACCAGATTTAATTTCATTTTTTACCTTATTTTTTTTTAAGAAAAATAAGAGCCACATATGAGGATATTCATTTCATATTTTGATAGAACAATAGCAGTATAATGTCCTCGTAAGTGGATATCAGGCCCTTGTAGAGCAAAATTGAGTATTTTGGTCTAAATAACCCAAAATGTGATGTCCACATATGTGGACGACAGGTCCTAGGAGGTTAAATAAAATTAAATTGAATTTTCCATCTAAGTTTAATTCTCTGTCATTACTTTGTGGTGGATGTGCTTACAGCCACATGACTTATGAAGCTGGTAACAACATTCAGGTTTTAGGAGGTGTTCAGAGACACACTGTACATACAACCACAAAACTTTTTCCAATAACTTTTAGCAATGCAGATGTTAACAACTGTGATATTTCTGCTTGGTATCACTTGATAATGTCAGATAGATCAGGCAGCGTTTCATGAAAGATCCACTTCCTGATGCAACCCCAAATGGCTATATGTATCTCTAACTGGAATTGTTGACATGCTAACATTGGAAACATGCTAGCACAGTGATGATACTGCATTGCATATATGTATATGCATCTGCATATGTAAGAGCCTGATGCTGTGGCCTGCTTTTATCCCTCAGGATGGCGTTTCTCTGCTGTACGGCTATTTCACTGCGAAAACACATGCTGGCAGTGAAGTTTCTCTCTTCTAATAAAAGAGAAAAATGAGTTCAAGAATAACCAGAAATGCATAGGAGTAAACAGGAGCACTTAAAAGACCTATCAAAGTGTGCCGATTTGACATATAGTAACATTTCTAGGTAGGTACCTATCAACTTCCAGCACACCCACAGCATAGATTTGATATTGAAATCTATATCATGGTAACTTTAAAGTAGCTTGCCAACATCGCTAATCCAATAGCTAGTTCTCTGACAATGTTGACATGTGCCATTTTTCTGGTTTCCGTAGCTCTAATAACACGCTTATTGGCCAGGGGTGATTCTGAAGTCTTCTGTTTGCTGTGACAGTAAAATCAGCTGTCATTCAACATTTATCAGCTCCAAGTCCAACATGAACAGCTCAGGCAGTCCTGATGGCAGATCAGGAACATCAATGCACAAGTATGAATGCAAACAGTACAGGCTATCTTTCTTCTTCTTCTTTTGTCCCTAGCTGGTGGTTGTCCACGAAGCCAATACATCGCTGTGGGTGCCGTAGGGTTTCCATTTTGGTCAATGATGCATTCCCAGGCCTTGTGGTCTCTTGCCTTCACATTTGCTTGCTCAAGGGTTAGGCGTCATTGTTTAAAATCGTCTTCAATTTGCTTGATCCAAGTCTTCTTAGGCGAGCCACGCTTGATTCTCCAGTGGGCGGGGTGCTGCTGCATCAAAAGGTGATGCGGCAGATGTGGCCAAATCATTGCAGTCACTTCCTAATCCACTCTTCCATTGAGGGCTGCTGGTGACATTGACTACGTATCACGCTGTTGCTGAGACGATCACGGAGGGACACTGGGAGAATCTGACGCTAAACAGCGGATTTGGAAGCACTCCTGTAGGATGCTGTTCAGCAATCCTGAAGCACCTACAACTGTAATGAAACTTTTTTTAAAAAAAATCAGGTTACAGGGTATTTTTTAACTGACTTCTGCCTGTCATTATGTTACTGAAGACTGCATCAGTATATTTAATGCTGAGTGAAAATTAAACTGTATTAGTAATGGCAGTATTAGTCACTGTGATGACTAATACTAATATTTAAAGACAATTTCTCTCATTTGTGCCTACCATGTGAAACAGCCCACGTAAGAGTTTCTGAAAAGACATTTTGGAGCTTTTCCATTTTTAAAGAATGAAAGTTTAGACAGGAGGTGGTTCAAACACACCATTTCTAATGAAGAAACTGGGGTTTGAGCCTCGTTAATGCATTAATTTCAGTTTTTAGGGGGGAGAGCAGTCCTAGCAATGCATAAATCTACACAAACCTGCCTTCACAAACACTTTTCTGCCGCTAAACAGCACCTGCAAGACAAACAATCAACTGTTACAGCTGTACCAGTGTTGTCAGAAAGCTTGAGAGTTTGTTTCCCTATTTCATCTTTTTCCCTATTTTACTGGACAAACTAACACAGAGAGAGAGTCAAGAGTGGCAGTAACTCAGGTGGGAGAGGTTTTGATTGTTCTCCTCACTTGTGCTAAACTGCACTTGGATATGACACTAAAACTCAAGTTGCTAATGTTAGTAGGCAAGCAACTCACATTGTAGTTCTCTTTGTGAGCCACTAAGGTAAAACGGTGTTATGTAAGTGCAAGCAGGAAAGGACATAACACACATTTATCTCCTGTGTGTTCTCCATATCATATAATCCATCATTTCTTTTATGTCACAAAAGCTGTGAAAGCTGCCGGGGGCAAATGTAATTGCATGTAAACGGACCAAACTTCAGTCAGGAGAACAACTGAGATAATCCATCCACAATACGAGGTTAGACATTCATATACTGCTGCATGGGCTGGGCTGTAGTTACATCGTAAGGTTTTAAAAACCGAGCTCTAAAAAGAATAGTGGCAATAATCACAGAGAGAGTCTCACAGTTATCACTGACTTTTTAAAGGTGCTTGTTCAGATTAAATAGAACAAGATGTTAAAACATTAAAACATGTTAAAAACACAACAGCCTTAATAAACTCAGAGTAGTTTGGACCCGGAAGCAGGGTTCATACGTCATCACCGAAAGACCAGATTGACAGACCTGAAACTCTTTCCATCTTTTTATACAGTCTGTGGTTATCTGTAATAGATAAATTTATTGATTATTGAGTGCAGCAATCTTGTGCTTTTGTATCTTTGATTGCAGTTTTGCCACTGATTGAAACCCACCTGAAAAAATAAGTACATGGGAATATGGTAGTATAGCTACAGTATACTGACCACAGATCTGCTATTTATTTAAATATAACTTGCAGCGCTCTTCTTCTGTTTTTGATTGTTCAACAGAGATAATCAGAGACACGGGGTTTGTGTCGGATGTTGGTGCCTAAGAATAAGGAACACTCGTAAGCGTAAATGTGAAGCACATTTATGCTTAAATGGTCAGTTTCTGTTTTGCAGTCTAACTAAATAAATACTTTAGTACAAGTACACACTCTCTGCTGCAGAAAGCACGCTATAAAAACCTAAAATAGTGTCTATAAAGCAGGTTTAACTTATATTAAACAGCAGATTAAACCCTGTCAGACCAGAGAAGTGCACGACCAGGTACTCCCAGATAATAATCCTCAATATTATATTAAAGCGTAAATGTTGGAGAAGAATCCAGTCTGAACAGAGCCCGTGGTGGATTCCCCCTCTTTGATTTCTTTCTTTTTTCAGGAAGGAGGGGAAGAAAGTTGCAAACAAAGTGACAGAAAGCTTTATCAAAACGGGGAAAAAATAATATCCAGACAGATTTAAAACGCATATTCGACACATTTGATCATTTTTAATATTGTTTTGAAGAGAGACACGTGCTGTATGTGGATCCACTCAGAAAAGTAAATATGAATGTTTTCACTGCCCCCTGTGAAGGGCTTACCTCCACTTCGAACGTGCGCTCGCTGTCATCCAGGAAGACCACGCGCAACCGGAGCTTGGTCTCCTTGGAGACCCGGGACTTGGTAGTGAGGTTCTCGAGTCTCCCGGTCCGCCGCTGTCGGTCCCCCATCTCTCCCGCTCCTTTCTGTTTGTCTGCGTCTCTCAGGAGAAGTAACAACTAAAACAACTACGATCGTCCATTAAATCCATGTCCACGAGAGTTAATCCCACGAGAAACGGCTTCACGCGCTCCCCGCCATTACCATCAACACCAAAACCTCCACGATCGTGTTCATCCTCCCCTTCGCTCCTACCGCTGGAGCGCGCGCTCTCCGGATGCGCAATGGCACGCTGACGTTGTCTCCAGACAGCCAGACCTCATCCAGCTTCTCGTTCACTGAGAAATCACTGGATTAAACTCACTGCACATAAATATTACTGCGCTTAAACACACTTTCATGTACTTGTACTTTAGAGGAGTAATACAGCTCCCACCTTCTCATACTTATATTCATCTACATCCATCTATTGTGTCTTTTTATTGGCTATTGTGACAATTTCTTATTTATTTTACACTCACAGGGCTTTGTCTGTAAAAATCGCCTAATAAACAAACTTCGCATTTCACTGCATTCACCTTTAAAAAGTGCTTAGAGTGACTTCTAACACTGTGATCTTAAAAGTTGATTATTTAGACTAAAAATATCATCATTTGCACGAAATGTGTTGATTTGATACTTTTTAACAAGTTACTGGGACTCAACGGGACACTGTCACTGTGTTACTGATGAGGAGTTCTCACTGTTTTTTTTTTTTTACGTTTTAATACAAAATAGTTTATAAATTAGCTCCACATCAGCCACATCAAAAGAGTACAGCTCTACTTGCAGTAAGCATCAATGCATGCGTAATAATGATCTAATACTTTATAACAGTACAACAGATCATTATATGAGCACACAGGGGGCAATTTGATTTACTGAATACTTAACGGATACTTACTCTTTACTCATAGCAGAGGTTTTCTGTGGTCTCCAAGGATTAATTCTTAGACCTGTTAGAAATCCTGTATTGATGTGACTAAAAAGGCACCAGAAATTGTTTCGTTCGTCTTTCTTTTATATTAAGGAATGTATCCATGTTCATCATTACTACCTATGCACTACACTACAACTGTCATTTTTATGCTGTAGTTAGCTGAATCAAAGATAATAATTCACTATACATATACACATACGTGAATATGTACTGGATTAAAAAAAAAGGCCAAAATGTGTGAATATAATATATAAAAATGTTTCAATATAAAATTAATTTTAAGATGTCTTTATGAGTCTGTTAAAGTAGGTGCTGTCGTGTTTTTATGGCTTATTGTACATCTACCAACAGCTATCAGTAGTACATTTACCAAAGTAAATTTTTATGGACATATTTAAATTTTATGCTTGTAAAACACATTTTTAGTAAAATATGTAGGCATGTTCAGTATATAAAGAGACAATATATGGTGTGTGTGTGTGTGTGTGCATGCGTGCATGTGTGTGTGTGTGTGTGCGTGCTGTGTGTGTATGTATGTATGTGTGTGTGCTTCACGGGAATAATATGAATTTCACGGTGGCTGGACGCTTTTAGAGGACTGACCTGTCCAAAAGTAGGCTAGTAGTGCAATGCCTTCAGTCGCCTCCAGCATGGACTGAGCACTGTGTGTGTGTGTGTGTGTGTGTGTGTGTGTGTGTGTGTGTGTGTGTGTGTG